ACCTGCACATAGCAGGGGGTTGGAACTGGATGAGCACTGTGGGCCTTTGCAACCCAGGCCATTCTATGATTTTATGATTCTCCATTCTCAAATCACTAAGGTAAGCTGCACGTCTCTCAAACTCATCCTGAAGCTGCATCTATGCCTTCATTTCTCCTTACAGACAATTTAAAAGCCAAACTTTACATAAACAGGGGCTGTTCTTCTGATTGCTCTTTTATTTTTTCATTTTGCAGTTTGTGCAACTGCAGTGCTTACCTTTTGCCCAATGCGTCCAATTAAAACACTATTAGCTACAGCTGTGTTTCCCAGGCTTTCAATGATGTCAATGCCAAAATCAGTGCAAGCACAGATTTGGAAATTTTGGAGTTTGAGGTTGCTGCTACTAAAAATCTGTATAAAAACATAATAAAGGAATAGAGTGGATTATTAAAAAAGAGTGTGGTTTATAGCCATGCTTTTCTAAAAGTACAGTGAAAAACAGGAGAGTGCAAAATTATAAAAGTTTTGATTTTGTATTAATTTAAGAAATTTCCCTTATTTTCTTATTTTAGCTTTCAATTAATAATGCAAGAACTTTTGAACTTGGCCAATTTGTTTTCTGTTAAAGAACAGTATGAAATAAAATCAGAAAATTCAGAGAACTGTTAACAAACAGGTTAAAAGTGTGCTAAATATTATCTTTTAATTAATGGAAAGAATAATAGGGTAAAGAATCAAGGTTCATAGCAGAAAGATGCCTCGAAAACAACCAAAGGTATAGCTTACAGTCAGCTAACAGCTAGGAGAATGTTCCTAGAGGAGAAATTCCCATGGAAACCATTAACCTACAAAAGTAACAGAACTTCCACCAACCATAATGTTTACAAACAGAGATTTAAACTGGATATAAGGAGGAAGTTATTGACAATAAGGGTAATAAAGCACTGGCAGAGGTTCCCAGAGAATCAGTGGATGTCCCTACAGACAGCCAAGGTCAGGCTGGATGGGCTCTGAGCACTGATGGAGCTGTGGGTGTCCCTGTTCAGTGCAGGAAGTGGGACAGATGGCCTTGAAGGGCTCCTTCCAACTGTAGGAATTCTGTGATTCTGTAACTACCTCACATCCACTGGGAGAACCTTTTTGGTTGTCTTGTAGTGGCAAATGTAGATTAGATGGTTAGATAGGCCAACAGGGCTATCACTAACAGTAATGCTGAGTTTGCACTGAACTATAGGGAGAGCTCACATAAACCATTACCAAAACAGGGGCCTCCAGCTGAGGGACAAGGACATAAAGGTACGAGAGGCAGCCTGAACTAGTATTAAATGTGGAGGTTGGTGGCCCTGCATGTGGAGGGGGGTCATGGAGATCCATGACCCTGGCCATTCTGTGATTCTGTGATATGAGAGATTCTACAGCAGCTGTGGCCTAATTGCAGCCTGAAAAGGCAAAGTCACTATAGAGATGATAAAGAGATGAAATAGCATTTCCTGAGCACCATGGAAGACCGTTAGGACAAACACACCTGGGCTCCGCCTTGGCTGCTCCAAACTGTGAAGCTGTTGAACTGAACAGGGCTGTTTGGGCTGTCTGGCAAATATTCTGGGTACACAAGCAACCCATGCCTGATAGGAAAGAAAGCAAAGAAAACAGTTTCCTTTCATGCATTATTAGACATAAAACACCATCTTTAGGCCTGTACTTAGTCTCCATTTCAACCTACTTAATCAGAACTAAACTTCAAGAGCTGAGTATTCATGCTGCTATTGCACAAAGCATCTGGAGGTAAGAAATGCCACTCCAAGCCATGGAAACCAGCATCATATCTCTACTGTTGCCCTGCAATACACGTTAAAGAGTGTAAGAATGAAATTGTATATCTGTTCTCTTGTGCTCCATCCTCCTCTGCTCAAACTGTCTGGAATACTTCAAAATTAGCTTTAATTTCAACACATGAGTACAAGCTTCTGTGCTCTGCTGTTAAATGTTTGATGAAGAAATGTTTTAAATGTGGCACTAGCAACTAAGTCAGGATCATTAAAACAAGGGAGTAAGATGGAGGTGCTTGCTGACAGCACGGGAAAGCACAGCAAGTTAACAAATTGAGCTGGTGAATGAAGAAGAATGGAATATATTGAAACTACCAGGAAACCACTTGCAGTCAGACCTTGAAAAATAGCCTCAACTACACACCAGTCCGTCATGGGCTCCACTGTGCTACTGAGCCAACAACAAGAAAGCAAGCCCTTAAAAGGGTGCAAAATTGAGAAACAATTACCAGCAACAACAAAATCCTGAAAGAAGGGACAAGGCCATTTCTGCTCACTGCTGCAGTTATAGTTAGCACTACCATGCACAGAAGGAAAGTCTCCTTAAACAAAGGTCCCCTATTACCTGGTGCAGGAATGGGCTGTGTTCTCACTGAAGGATAAGAGAGGCATTTTGGATGGTCCCTCAGGAGAGAGATGAAAGAAATACCCATATCCAGCAGCACACACGGTGTTACCCTGCAGAGAAACACATACAATTGTGAAAAAGATTACCACAAACTTCTGCTAAATAAAATAAAAGAAAAATAAATGAATAAATAAAATCCAATCCCAGTTGATGTTAAAGATAGTTCTGGCAAGTCTGGTTGGCAGAAGCTGGTACCTTGTTTGTGTGTTCACGCTCTCATTCCATTCTTGCTCTTTCCTTGGGTCAGTCCCACAAAAACTTGCTCTCAAGTCAGACAACAGGGGTTGGCCAAACAACTGGAACTCATGACAGCAAAATGGTACTGCCACAGTTCTTCAAGAAGTAGGTAAGAAAAAAAAAAAAAACAAAACAGTGTGGAAGACTTCTTAAAATCCTTTCTAAGTAAGAAGCCCATGTCATGGAAGAAAGGTGAATAACTACTTAATTTTATTGGTTTACTTCCAAGTCTGCATCTTTCTTATGCCTCCCACAGTAATTATAGCAAAAGAACTGACACTGAAAAACTGAGATTCCGAAAAGATAAACCAAAGAACTACGTCTTCATGATATGCTGGTGTCTGAACAGTTAAACTCATTCAGATCTGCGTCTTCATTTAGCTCTGTTCCCTTCCTTTGTCCCTAAGCACAGCTTTCCAGGAGATCTCTTCCACTAATTCCATAAACCACTGCAAGTTTGCTCTCCTGAACTTCAGGTTCCTGACTCTGCTCTTTGCCAGATCCTCAAGATCTCATGATCTCAAGATCATGAACTCAACAAGGGCATGGTTGCTGCAGCCCAGACTGCCTCCAATCTTAATTTCTTTAATGACCTCATCTGCACAGGTGAGCACCAGGTTCACTAATGTTTCACCTCCAGTCTGTTTGACTAATACCTGGATTCAGGACGTTATCCTCAGCACACTCCAGCAGTCTTCTGGATTGCTTACAGCATGCCATGTTGCTTTCCTGGCAGACACCCAGGAAGTCATATCCTTCACCAGAATGAGAGCTTGCAAGAGCAATGCTTCTTGTAGCTGAAGCAAAGCCTCCTCAACAGGCTCCAGATGTCCTTCATTGGTCTGGTCCTTAATTTTTACACACAATCTCTCCATCTCCTAAAAGCCCAGTCTCTCGAAGGTGCATCTGAGATCACAGAACTCAAAGTCCTGAGCATGGCACCAGTCATACAGCCAATCATTCATGTAACTCCTTTTTGGATTTCCAACTGGGAGGTAGAGGAAAATACCACCTTCCCTCCCACTTCCTTCAACATCTTCCTGCGGTACATAAAGTCTCTTCTTCCAGGGAAGTTGAGGATAATCCCTCCCTGGAGGTACTCAAGGCCAAGCTGGATGGGGCTGTGAGCAACCTGGTCTAGGGAGAGGTATCCCTGCCTATAGCAGGGGGTTGGAACTAGACAGTCTTAAAGATCCCTTCCAACACAAATCATTCTATGATTCTGATAATTCTCAACCCCTTCGTTGCAGCCTCCTTCAACTCTACATAAAAGAGTAGGAATGGCTTTACCACGTTTGGTTACCCTGTCATGACACTGTGCATGTGGGTCCCCAGCAGACAACAAACCTATCTAGGAAGATTGTCTGGATGGCAGATGAATGCTTCAGTGCTTTCAGTGAGTAATCTTCCATTAGTAACACCTTTTCTGCTCCTTTTGGTGGCACAGGTTGGTTGGTTGGATCAGTTTTGTACAGCTGTCAATTCCAGGGTCTTGACCATTACTCACACTCCCTTTTTTTCAGCCACAAAGCTGGGCACCCCTGTTGTGTAGTGGCACTTTGGACTCCTATTTCTGCTCAAAGCAGAGACAAGGATACAGTGTCCCTCACCTTCTCAGATGTGTTATTAATTATTGTTAATATCACTTAATGAAGAAATTATGGAGTCGTGTTCATTACAAAACATGAAAAAAGAAGAGAACCTAAAGCCTTACTGGACTTATAATTAGGAGTTTCTGACTTGCAGAGTCTGTGGCAAGTCAGTTTTGCAGGGGAAGACATAGGGAGCTAGGAGTCTTTCTACTCCAGGGCAAAAACCTGCTCTTACCTGCTTCATTTTGGACAGTACCCAAACTAAGCTGTTTTGGGATGGTGCCCATACAGAAACGCATTCATGTGCACATCTGGACATGATCCTTCTCAACTGTCTCAAATGTGTTGCTCAAATTTGATGCTGAAGGTCCAGGCTGATAAATGTATGCTTCCTTTTCAGGAACTAAGTAAGGCATAGGCATGTCTGGAGGGCAAGTCATCCTGCCTACCCTTAGATAACGTTAATTGCTCTCAGGAGGTAATTAGTTCTCTAAGGGGAGTCTAAGATGAGCGTTCTCGCAACTTCTTGCAAGAAGTGCTGACACTCATGACTTCAGAGGTCACTGGACAGTGTTAAAATATTAATGGCTTTTTGGTCCCTGATGGCCCAAATCAAAGCCAAACCTGATGACCCAGAGGTGGAAGCCTCCATATTCCAATTACTTTTTCCTGACCCTTCCAAGTGTGCTCCCCGCAGTCGTGGTTTCTGACATCTGCCAAGCAACAAAGAGATATCAATAACCAAAGCACATCTCTCCATCCCCTGGTAAAGCTGCTGCTTTTTCCGAAAGTGCAGCCAGAGTCCCTTTTCCTTTAACTAAATGCTTCTGCAGTCCAGTCACATTATTTCCAGGATCTTTTACTTGCGACCCCAATCGTGCGTTCTGCAGATGATTCATAAGGAAAAACTGCATATTTATTCAGCCAGCTAGTGGCTGGAGGGCAGGGGTTTTAGGCAAGGAGGGAATTTTGTGTGGAAATCAATTCTTTGTGGAAGTCAATATATTATGAATGTCCATGCAACCAAAATTCCAGAGAGAAATTACCTCCCCAAGCATGCCAAATACCTGCAGGTATGAATTGCAAGTCAGTAAAATAAGTGGCTGACGTTTAAAGTGTCTCTTAACTGTACAGCTCTGCAAATGGAAATATTTCATGAATTTCTTTTAGATGACCAGGGCTCAAACTGTTGACCTTAAAAGTGACGTCAAAGCTTTGGAGAGCATGCCCAGCACCACTCTCCTCAATTTAAGAGCCTGGTTGGATGCAAGGAGTGTCCCCAATGGGCTTGCTTCAACATATACACAATTTGTAGAAGGCTCCAGAAAAGTAAGAACAAAATGGTGGGAAACAATCAGTGCCAAACAGATACAGCCCCACCTCTTTGATACGGTAGGGAATGTGGGGTTGGGCAACACTGGGCAACAAAATCACACATATCAGCACGGCCATCAGTCACCACTCCAACATAGAAGCACAGGTTGATCTCAGCCCTGCTCATTCTGGTAAGCTGCTTCCGAGTCTGCAATGTCATGGCAAGAAGGGAGAGGGAGGCTGCTGGGTGCCTATCTTACACCCAGGTTTTGCTTGCATGAGCACTGCACGACGTTGCAGAGATTTAAGGGCATTGAATGTTTATGAACAGAAAATTATTACAAAAAGTACAAAAACACTGGACCCAAGAAAACCAAGAGAAGATAAAAAGCTGTTTTTTGGTGTTGTTTTTTTTTCTTCAGGGACAAAACAGCCAATATCAAAGAGGGGCATCTTCTATTCCTCTTGCTGATAGGCATTCAAAAGGCAAGAAACCAGCTTGCTAATGAAATTGCCTTACGTCACTCAAAAGTGACAACCAGGGCTTCCATATTTTATTTAAAAATAAAATTGCTCATCTTGTCATAACCATTCTGCATTTATGCTGCATGAGTACGAAGTTTTATCTAACACCCTGATTCACAAATGCACTTAAGAGCTTAAGCCAAATGGAAACCGGTGGGAATTGGGTCTCCGAACATCTTTGTAGGCCCAGGTTTGAGTGACTGCTGTGTCCCATTTTCAACACCATTTAGGAGATCACTGATTTTAAAGGAAATTTCAGTTCTTCAGTCACCGATGCAAATTTAGACTCCGGAGTAAATTGAGCAGATATTAAAATATTATTCCACTCACTGGAGAAAGCTTAACCCATCACTTACAGAGGTTGTAACACAGTCTGCACCTAGAGTTCTCTGTCTACATTAGCTGTAATCTTTGCCCATACTTTTAAAAGCAGAAATTTAAAGATGAAAATCTGAGAAAGAAATAAAATAAAATAAAATAAAATAAAATAAAATAAAATAAAATAAAATAAAATAAAATAAAACAGCAAAACAACCAAATCCTAACACTGAAATATAGAAGGCAAGTTTCTATTCTATGTCGTGGCAGTTTGAAGATGAATTTTGCTCATTATATCCTTTGAACCTCTCTGTTCAGTTAGAATTATAGCTATCCAAAAAGCAATATGTAGTTGGTGAACCATCTGAGCAGATAAAAAGTGCCTAACTGTGTACAACACGATCCTGGCACTGGACCAGCACTCTCTGGATTTAGTGATCATTATCATACTAAGAAAAGTCCATTGGGCTAAGGTGCTTTGACTGGAAAAAGCTGTGACTGGTTCTCTTAATATGCACATAGAATCAAAGAATTCTAGAGTGGCTTTGTTTGAAAGGATCCTTCATGAAGTTCCAACCCCTGCTGTGGGCTGGGTGCTTCCACCAGCCCATCCATGGCCTTGAGCACCTCCAGGGATGGGGCACCCACAGCTCTGGGCAGCAGTGCCAGGGCAGCACCACCCTCTAATTCAACAATTTCTTCCTAACACCTAACCTAAATCTCGCCTTTTAGTTTAAAGTCATTCTCCCTTTGTAAAGTGTAAGTAAGAGTGTGTAAAAAGTCAGTCCCTTTCTGTTTGTAAGCTCTCTTCAAATACTGCAAAGCTGCAGTGAGACCTCACATCCTCCCATGTCTTCTACTGAATGCTATACATATTGTAGAATGGTAAGCACTCCTAATAATAATTTTAAGCTAGGCAATTTCTTTCTGTTTCCCTTAGAGCCAACTCTGTTGCTGCTGCACAGCCTCAGATAGCCCAGTCCGAGGGACTGCTGACATTGAGGTATATCAGCAACCCTCCAAGGGCCATCTGCTATTCTGCCATGAGTAACAGAGCTTTGGAGAGCAGGCTGAACCCTGATGTTGGGCTGCACACCAACAGACACAGCTTTGGGCACATCTCAGAAGACACATGAATGGAGAGAGCTCGGCAAATGTGCTGAAAACTCAACTACAGTCGGTTCACACGTACCCATAAAGATAATTGCAGCAATCCTTTGCAAAAGCTGAGCCACTGGCAATCCAACAGACAGCTCCAGGGAAAGTCAGCGCGTGATAACACAGCACTGTGCTTAGTGGAGCTGAAATTCATGTGATTCTGCCTCGTTGTTGTATTTTTTTAACCATATTTGATGGTCTTAAAAATGATAAATGCACCCTCGAGGGAATTGCAGGAAAGTCCTCTCCTTCTTCCTAAGTACTACTGGCTTCAGACTCACGTAGGAAACGTGTTGGTATCTTTTTCACCTTCAAATTTAGATGCAATCCTTTCCTCCTGGAACAGAAGCCCAGGGGGCGATTAGGTCTTCACAGATGCTTAATAATTGGCTTAGTTTCTGTGGGTTAGCAACAGGACAGGTCAGAAATATTTTTTAATGAAAATGTGCATTTGTCACAACTGAAGCTGTGGTAAGAAAGGTCAGTTTCAATGAAATTCCAGACTTGAAACAGTTGAAAAGGTTTGAAATCACTGAAAAAAAGGGTTGGTTTTTTTTTTTTTTCCATGAAACAAGACAAAAAATAAATGCGTATATTAAAAGAAAACATCTCTGAATTAGCCAATGAAAAGAAACTTACAGAGCCCAACTTTGTGATGGGAAGGCTGTTAGTCAGAAAGCTGCTTAAAATTTCAATGTTTTGTCACTATTTAGACCAACAAAACTTACTTGCTTTTAAAATCAATGTCATTTTCATGGGAAAAGGAAAGCATTCTCCTCCTCACCCTGGCATGGAAATCTCAGATTCTGCATAAGCTGTCATTTTAAAACCAGGCAAAGCTGCATTTGATATTGCTGAATTTTACTATGTTTATCTTCAGTTCATTAAAATTGACATTATATTGACAGTAGTAGAAAAAAAAAATCGAGAGGATCTGTTCCTAAACATTTTTTTCCCATTTTTTCTAGGAATCACAGAGTAAAATAAATTAAAATAAAATAAAACAAAACTTTAAAAAGTATCCTAGGAAAAAAAAACAAAAAACAAACAAACAAAAACACTCAAACGCATCATAATTTTCAATAACCATAAATTTTTTCAAGAATATTCTTGACTTTGTAATATGTTCATTTCAGTATCCCATCACAAGCATGGTTTCTGAAGGCTCAGACAAGAAGCAAATATTGTGTACATGATCACAGAATCATAGAATCATTAAGGTTGGAAGAGACTACAAAGATTATCCAGTCCAACCATCCACCTACCCCCAGTGTTGCCCACTAACCATGCCCCTTAGAACTATACCTACTCCCTCCTTATACACCTCCAGGGACGCTGACCCCATCACCTCCCTGGGCAGCCTCTTCCAATGCATCACCACTCCTCCTGAGAAGAATTTTTTTCTAATATCCAACTGACCCTCTCCTGCCATTACCTCTCATCCTATTGCTGTCACCTGGGAGAAGAGGCCAACCCCCACCTCACCACAACCTCCTCTCAGGGAGCTGTAGAGAAGGTAAGGTAAAAAGTTCCATATTTTTCTGATATTTCTGAATAGAAAAGAAATGTTATGTTTTATACCAGAACCTCTTACCTCAATGTGGTTGGCAGGAGTTCTGATGTAGATCCCTGCTGGTGACAGACTCTCAATGTTGGATAAACCATCCGTTGCAGAAAGGCCAATCACTATGTTATTTCTGATTCTATTCCCCTTCTCCAGGCCACTTCCTTAAAAATAAAATAAAATAAAATAGTAGTATTAGATGTTGAGGTTGGCAGCTCTGCCTGCACCAGGGGGTTGGAGCTTGATGATCCTTGGGGTTCCATCCAACCTAACCATTCTATGATTCTATGATAGAAAATAAATAGAGAAAAATGAATCTATACACCTGGACACCCCCTTATAGTACATATCAGAGAACTTGCCTGCTTTGCTGGCATGGTACACCTGAGAATCAGCTGTGTGTGACTGTCCCTGGGTAAGTCATGGTCACATCTGTGTTTAACACATGGCAAAAAATGGCTGTGACACATTTGAAGACTACCATGGCTAAAGCCAGCAATGGGAAGGGGATGGCTGTGTGCTTCAGAAATGCCAGAAGGCCACAAGCAAGATAAAATAGAATAGTTCTGTTGGAAGGGTTCTTCGAAGATTATCTAGTCCAACTGCCAACATTGATATCAACTCCATTAATGATCTCACCAAGATTTGTCCAACATTGAAAATATTAAGAAAAAAATAAAAAAGAACTTACATTCTAATCAGACAGATTCAGTCAGGAAAAGAAATAATATAATGCATATTCTACCAAAACACAATGAAGACCACAATTCCACAATCTGAGATGCAGAAAATACCCTATAGAGTTTTATATATGAATATAACTGCAGCCATACTTTAAGCCAGGTTTATGGAGAAAATGAATAAAAAAAGTATGATAAATCATATTTTACAGCTTGAAAAAAAAAAGAGATTCCAAGTCATTCCACCTGTGGACACACAGGCATGCTTCTGGCAGTGCTAAAATTAAAAGTTCTCTCTCCTTTGTCTCCATCCATTGTTCCATATGTGTATAAGAAAAAATTTAAACAGACCCTAAAAGCACCACTGCTATCTTACACAGAAGTGGAGGTCCCCCACCCACAAAAGTAAAACATGAGAAGAAAAAGGAGAAGGGATCACTCAATTATCACACAGCTCACAGTCACAGAGTGCACCACATCGGTACTGAAACAGTAAGAAAAATATTCACATTTCCTTTTAAACTACACCATAAAGAAACGTGGCACCCAACGGGGAACAGTGGATAGTCCTACATACTGGTCAACTTCTATTAATGAGACATCAGCACATGTGTCTCTGGTCTGAAAGCAGAATAAAAAGTGAGTCATTTCTACTTGACCCACGTCAGGAGCAAATAACATCTATTTAATTTTGTTCTGTTGAACTGAAATGGTTCACTTTATCTGCTCCAGTCATTATATCCTTGTCATTACTACCCTAAACGTAAACAACAGAAGTACATAAGGGATTTTGTCTGTGGGAAGGGAGTAATCATTTTCAGTCTTTCTAAGCCTTCTGATCATTTCTCCATTTTTGAACGACATCCATTTTGGAAATATTTCCTTTTCAGGTTGTGCTTACTACAAACAATGCTACTATTAAGCAGGGTCCTAAAACAGTCCTTTTGAAAGCCATACAGTTTTGTGAGGTGGCAAAAAAGGTTTGGTCTTCCAAGCTGAGCCCTGGTATGTCAATTAATTCTAAGCCCAGAGCAACTTTTTATGACTGTCTTGCAAAACCCCTGAAAATAAGGGTTTTAGATGAAATCACTGAGGGAGTCCAATTCTGGAGCTGCAAACAGCCAGCTGTAATAAATATTCCTTCACAGGCAACAAAATGATATATAAATTCATCCATCAGACCCTCTGGAGCTGCTGGCAGTGAAGCCATTAAAGACATCTTGGGGATAAGGTGTATTCAGGCTGAAACTTCGGAGGAAATGTTCAGCTCAGCCCAGAGTCCTTTAAGTCAGACGTGTGTCCTGTCCTAGCACAAGTGAGCCATGGCAGCCCAGCAGGATGGAGATCTCATTCTGCTTCCCACGGCCTCAGGAGCTGTGTGTGATGAGTCACCACACCTCTCTGCACCAGCTCTCCTCTTCTCCAAGATGTGTACAGTAGCTCTTCTTTTATGGGTCTCCTCTGTTTAAATCGTGATCTATCACACCCTATTATATTTATATATGGGATCGAGCATAGGGACTCTCTGTGTGTGTGGAACTGCAGGATCAGGACTGAAGGCTCTTTTTTAACCTGTCTTTATCCTGAAATTGGTCATTTTTTATCCTGTTCCTGACAGAAAACAAAAATCAAGCTGCATCTTTAGGGATTCAGGCAACGTGAGATCCCAGCGGAAGATGCTGCAAGTCAGGCTCCTGACAGTTAGTTCAGAGAAATATTTTGTTGTTTAACAGTTTTGTTGCTCCAAGCTCCAATTTATTTAAGTGCTAAATCCTCTGCTTAACTTTTAACATATGCTTTCACTCCATTATCTTTGATGTCAAATGACTGGAGTTAAAGGTAAGTATGCTCTTACATGCCTCACTGAACTGGGGTCTTAAATATTGCATAATGGTGCTCTTCCACAGAGAGACACAACAATTCCCTAAAAAGAAATTTCTTTCCATTTGTATTCGGTGAAATAAAAGGATACAGAGCAAGTGAAGACTGACCTGAAGAAACATAGAGAATATGGCCAAACAGAAATAGTTGCTAGGAGTTGCCTGAGAAATATTGAGAAATTTACTCCAGATTCACTAATAAGAGAAAATGTGGAGATGTGATTAAATCATGAGGGTGCAGTTAAGAATCCTTTCCTCCAAAGACATTTTCAAGGAAATGATCATCAGCAAACGTTGCTATTACATGTAGGAAAAATACTTTCCTGCTTCACTTACCCAGTAGAAGCCCATGTCCTGAAATGTTAAAGAAGACATTACTGTCTACACTAAGGTTTGAGATCCCAGTCAGACGGAGTCCTTGGCCAAAGGAGTCCAAAAGACAGCAACCACGTATGTAAGAGTCTGGAAAGAAAAGAGCTTGGAGAATTTAATATTAGCTCCTCCTGCTATGATGCTGTGCAGTTAATCCTTTTTGCTTCCACGAGACTGACTAGTTGAAGCTGAAATTTGCTCATCTTTGCTAACAAGTGGGCATTGCTGAAATAGCTGCAGAAGAAGAGAGGAGCCCCAAGCACAGAAACAGGCTACTCGAGGCATCTCATATTATGTGGGAGAAGATCCAAATGAAAGGATCGTGTAAGTGAGCTACATTAGGAGCTGAGGTAACTGGGGGATTGAAGTGGGTCTGAATGAAAGGAAGAATGTATCAGAAGGGTGGGTATCTTATCCACCTTGTGTAGCTAGGCATGATGACCAACATAATGTACTCCAGGATCATGGCCAGGGCTGCCTTCTGACACCAGAAAGCCTAGATCATCATTAAATGATGAAGCTGGCATAGGGAAGAAAAAGCTGTGGGTTAACTGGAGGGGAAGGTCCAATCCAGAACCCTTCAAACATTTGAGCCCATCTAACTCGCTCCCATCTCCACCAGTCTTCAGAGACCTCATTGCCACTTCCACAGAGATTAATTTTGTGCTTACCAATGATTCAGTCAAAATAAATGTTCCTTAACTCTCAGTTGATATAACAAAATATTGGTTTATGCTATGGAACATCCCTGAGTCAGCTCAGGACTCACTCATGGTATAGTATGGCTTTCATTTCCAGAGTTACAAGCAGCACAGCGACTCAGAGACATACCATTAAAATGAAGTACTATTTAGAAAGGAGCTGTCAAAAACCACAAAGGAACTAAAACAATTTAAAGGACTCCATCAGGTGTTACTTGGACTTAGTCTACAAGTGAAACTTTCTCACTTTTCTCACCTTTACAGTCCAGTGGACTGACCTCAGAGCTAAGCAAGGTTTTGAGAATATCTTTCCCCGTTGGAAAGATGGATATGTGAGATCGTTTGGGCTCATCTCCAGAGCAGCTGTCTCACCTGCCATCTGTGCATTGCCAGCAACTGTCAGGGCACTGCGGTGCTGCCAAAATGCTTGGCCCATGTGGTGGAACTGGACCCCCTCCACTTGCAGCTGACTCGTTGCTCCCTGGAAGGCTTCCACAATGACAACAGCTCCCAGGTCCTGAGACCCCAGCCGCCTCTCACTTCGCTTGTACAGACACCTGGAGCCACCTAGAAGACAACCCAGTAGGAACTATCAGTTCTACATATCTGCTGTGACAGTGGGACATGCAGAGTCCTTTGAGGCACCTCATGAGGCCCATTGCACTGACTCAGAGAGCTCCTGTTCCCAGCAGTGATCTTCAACACGTGCTCAAAGACAAATAGCCACAGGCAAGCTTGCACGAAACTCCCCCTAAGTACTTCCACAATTTCTCACCTCAGAGTCTGGACATTTTTAGAGGAAGGTGTATTAAAACCAGCAGGAAGCTGTGCTAGTTTTATGCTTAGGAAAGTTCCTTGTGTTCAATTTTAAATAGGCCTGCGCACAGGGATGATGGATTTGACATTGATTTACCTTGGGTGAGAATCTTGAAAAGGGGATTGGGCACGGCTGTACTGAACTGAGCTGAAATGAGAACATTTTGAAATTTCTTTAAAACCCTCTCCCTCCCAACTGCCCTCACAGACATGTGAGGAAACATTCGTACCCACAGACAGAAGATAAGGAAAGGAGATGATAGGACTGCAGAAGGAATCGACATTCCTCAAAGGTGTCCTTTCCCCAGGTCTGAGCTCAGGATATTTTGGTTCAGGGGGATTCAGGCTATGAATGTGTAAATCAGTCCTGCTTACACTCAGCAATGCTCATTTTTCTTTTAAAGATGGTAAATTAACCACAAGAAACACTGCCCACTCATCTTCTGGTGACTCCTCTGAGAAATCCTCCTATACTTTAATGCAAATAAAAACCTCAAACAGTTAGCACATTTCAGAGACTATATTTATGAGTTCCACACAAAATGGACCATAAATCCATGAGTAATATAAGCAGTTGGCTGCTGGATATCAAATGAAGTCTTGTGTCACAGTCTGAGTGCCCAAGGCATTTTATTTTTAAAGGGAGCCTTATACCTGGGTTGCCAGATAACCTAACTCTCCTTAAATTATAATCGCTGTGTCGGACTGCATTTCCTCACCTGCAGGTGTAAATCAGGAAGCCATCCGTCAAACTTCACTGTGCCTTACAAACATAAAACCAAAGGAGAATTGAGAAACCTATTGTTTCACCGCTGCTACTAAATGCTACAAGAAGCTGTCACCTGGTTTTGTTCCTCAGGATCCCCAAACAGCATCATAATTTTTTACACTACAGAGTACAATAAGCATCAAGATGTTTTGTTTTTCTTTCTTCTAAAAGTTTCTAAATAGTAAACACAATTAAAAATTTAATATATTATGTACACTGAAATATGTTTTCAGAAGATACTTTCTTTGCTATACCCTTAGGCTCAGGCAAAACTAAAGGGTCTTTCCCAAGATGGCTTGAAACAATAATGTGAAAATAATACATCTGAGATATTACAATGAAATGCACTTCAACTCCCAAGACTTCATACTTCAATGTCAAATGATGTTTGGAAAGATAAAATTGCTTTCCTGGCACTGATATGTCTCCGCTTTACTCTATTAAGAAACATTTCTAATGCACAGTGATACCTCAATGTGATTTTAGAGAAGAAATTTTACTCCTGAGTACCTCTCAAGACCTCCTCACCTCTTGTGCCACCTGCTTCTGCACACTCTCTGAGGTGGGAGATCCTCTCCTTCGTGACATTCCCTTGAACAACAACCCTTCTGCTGAGCAGTGCCACCACAGCACTCAAAGTCAGGCTTTGGCCATTCACTCTTTCCTCTCCGACGTTGTGGGAGTACCTAGGGAAAGACAACGAAAGTACAAAAGCACCTGCAGCTGACACATGGCAGGAATGATGTTGACCCCAACCATCCAAATCCAACTTCAGTCCCCTTCTTACTACTGACATCAAGAATTACCTCTATCTGTTAAGTCAGCATATATGGGCTAGATATATTTTTCCTTGGTTGACATTTATTTTCATCTTGTCTCACAAGTTCACAAATCCTCTTTACATTTGGTTCATATACACCAAAATATTTCTGCACTTGAATTTCCTTCATCTTCCAAAAACATACTGTCAGTATTTTCTTCCTCAAGCCCCAGATACTTTTACAAAGAAGTGATACCATTGGCATTCATGGGTACTGGGGTTAGGCTGCTATCAACATAGAGAAGATATTTCAACACTGGGACTCCAAGTTACAATGCAAGAAGTATAGTTTGGCCAAGGCCTCCATACATAGAAAATGAAGAGAGCGTAAAAAGCTAAACTAATGTTCAGTAGAAACAAAGCAGCAATATTTCCAAACTGAAGTAATTCACTTTGAGTGTTTTGTTAATTAACTTAAGCAATTCAGTAAAGAGGGGAAGGATTTTATTTTTTTTTTTTAACAAAATCAGACACTTTCTGTGGGGAAAAAAAAAAAAAAGCAATTACTCAAGAAAATAACTTTGCAGGAAGATTCTGAGCCAATTCTGTGCTAAGACCAGTGGACTGAACTAGCCATTGGTGTTTTCTGATTCAAAGGTCTCTAAGTCCATGGTTATATACAGGATTTAAACATAGAATCATAGAATAATTAAGCTTGGAAAAGACCTCTAAGATCATCTAGTCCAACCATTCACCTACCACCAAAATTGCCCACTAAATCATTTCCTTTAGAATCTCCAGTCAGAATGCATTCAATATATAATGTCTGCTAGCTTTGAGGCGAGCAAAGAACTGAAATGTCTCTGACCACTTCTGTTAAAAGGACTTACATATAGTTGCTAAGTCCCACAGGAAACTGCAAATCCTCACCTAGACCACATTTTCTCCTGTCTTCACTTTTTGCTATTGAAATCCCGTTTCTCCTTGAAAAGATACCTGAGAGGTGACCTAAGGTAGAGCTCAGTGTTGTTTATAGACTCAATAATGGCCACTTCTTCTTGCTGCTGTGTATCTCCAAGACCTGTCCTTCCCACCACAATTTCATCACCAGGTTCCCAGTCAACAGGTTCCTGGAGTACTAATCGTAAGTCGTTAGCAAGAGCTGATGACTTCAAGTATGTGAAAGTTACTTTGGGCATCCAGCCTGGAAGAAAAAAAAAATAAAGAAAAACTCAATATATATATAGACATATAAAAACAAAACAGAGAAAGGATTTGCCTTCTTAGAAAACACTGCTTCACTTGGATCATCCCATAGTCATTCATTTCTCTTTGACTCCGTGTCAGAGAGATGGGAATAATGCTATAAAACATGATTTGTGCACATTCTTTTGAATCAGAAATGTTGCATTTTCCAAACAGTATCTTCATTTCATATCTTTTTGTCTTTATCAGTCCTAAACAGGAGAAAAAAACATGTTAGGAAGGAGTTTGCTCAAAAGGTTGTGGGAGCTGAGGTTGTTTCATTCCCCCATAGAAGAAGGTAAGAAACACTTCTAAAGATCCCTCTACTACAAACAACAGGAAAACACTTTTTGCAGGGACTATCATCTTTGTCTGAGTACAAAAAGTATTTCCAATTATCAGATTCCTCTGTCAGGTATCCAAAATGAGATGCAATGAGTCTGGGCCTACAAATAACTTGCATTCACAGAAGTGCATAGTGAAAGATGACTACCTCTGCTTTTAAGAACTTGGAAGACTCACTGAAGATGGTTCAGCTAGCAACACCAGGTCATTTTCACATCGTCTCTCTGGACAAAGCAAGGACTCATTGTTTGAGAACCTGCCTTAACCATCTGACTGTGTCATACAGTGCAACCGGTTGGCTGCAAAATGAAACATATAGCTCATATGTGTAGCATGTAGCAAGCCTGCTTTCAAACAGCTGACCAAAAAAAAAAAAAAAAAACCAAACAAAAAAAGAGTGCTGATTGTCTTTTTTTGCCAGTTGGTAGGTATGGTAGAGATTGGCAATCTGATTGGCCCAGCATGAGGTAATGCGATGGGGTGGCAACAGGATTCTGCAAATGCCTAGAAGTGTATCTCAATCTGTTTCCAGCTGAGATCACACACAGGTCTCCATGGGGAAAGCCTTCTCCACAGGTAGTCTGCAAAGCAGACACATAATGTGAGTGCACAAGTTAGTAGGACTGCAGAGTGAAGAAGAGCCACTGCATGAGCAACCATAAGCCAGCTTTGAAAGGCAACAGAAAGGCAACAACTACAGATTCACAAATCTCCTTCTCTTCACTGGACGTTCTACCAAACTTGGGCACAACAAGGCCCAGCAATGAAACTTCAGGACATTTTAACCTCTCTTCTTTGTTTCATGTTTAACTCTTACCTAGCAGGCTTTGGAACGGATTGTTCCAGTGAGATCCAGCACACTGAACACCATCAGGGGAGAAAACGTGAGCCTCACACACTCTCCTTTAGTATATTTTTCCTTCCCTCCTTTGCAATAGATCATAATTTACCTTTAGCCCTCAGCAAGTTACTGTCCTCCCTGGTTGTACTATGGAAAAGTAATAACACCAGAAATCACTAAGGGTAGAGGTTGCATCCAATAAATCATTTTCAAATTATTTTAAGCAAGCTTCTCTCTCTCTCTCTCTCCATTTCCTGTTTCATGTTCTGGTTTCTTTCACTCTAGTGTCCCAATTCCTCTTTCTTTAATGAAGGTGGAAATAACAGGTAGCACCCCAAGTCAATGAATTCACAGCAGAATGAGAGAAGATAGAATCAAGTCTTCATACTCTGTGAACCTAAAGAATTTTTGAGTACCTGCTCTACGTGTCAACGAAATGAAACACATCTAAACATAGCCGAGATATCTCTAGTTGATTATTTTTCTTTTTCTTAAAGTAGAATTGGAATTTCTCCACTTGCAGCTAAGGAAATTTCCCAAACATCCCTTCTTCTAGTCCAGTGTTGATGTAGTATAAAGACTTGGAGGATATCGATGCAAAGGGAAGAGGTAGAATATTTAAAGTAATGAAATAGGACATTTGAAGCAATGAGAATGTGTGAACTCAGATAAGGAGTGAGAAAAAACAGCCGTCCTTCAGCACAACAGCTGTTGTATTTGCCATTGATCACTGTCTGGTCAACACCCCTAGGCAAACAGCTATAATGCTTTGAAAGGTGCCTCCTTGACGACCCTTTCTGATGATCTTGAGGAAAGCACTCATCTCCCTTCCACCGAACATCCTGGGATTGTGAGCACTGCTGGATGAGGATGTTCCATAGAAGAGGCCTACCAATCAATCACACTGAAATAGCTTTACTGTATTTTTTAAAATAAACTCATGCTTATATGCCATCAGCACCTGAGATAAGAGGAGAATATCAGAGAAAATACAGGTAGGTGCATATCCCACCCTTCATAAAGTTCTCATGGCTCCTTGAGCAGATGCAAGAGGAGTCAGTATAGTAGTCATCAATTCAAGGAGAGCTGTACACTGTTGGAGGATCCCTTTTTCATCAGCTCCCTCTATTTATGCCACTCTACAGGGAATGCAAGTTTCTAAGAAACAAAAGGTAGCACATTTTTTCCCCTCTGCACAAAGAACAGCATTTTGTACATCTCCATCTTCAGCAATCATAGCTGATTCAGAGAAATGCTCTTGCTGTCAGCTTACGTGCATCCTTTTACTAAAAGCAGTCTCGTCATTGTTATTCATTTACCTTCTTTTATTGAGTGAACCTCGTGAATTTTTAGGGCCTGCATAAAAACCAACAACTGACAGCAGCCATCTGCATTCTGAGTAGCAGACTATTTTTTCTCTAGTTCTGGACATTTTACTCATGTTCACGTGTTAGTGTGCATTTGTGTGCATCCGTGTGCATCTGTGGCCAGGCACACAATTGCTTCCCATTGCATACATCTGTCACACACATACTACAGCAAGCATTACAAAAATACTGCTGGTGCAAATCACTGTTCTGCATTCAAAATGAACTCCAATGGAAAAGGTCTCCTTCAGGCTTTTCCATTCCCAGGCTCAGAATTAAAAATCACTAAGGAATTTTTTTCCAAGTTTTCTTCTCCCGAAGGAAGAGTATGAAATATATTTTAAATATATTCAAACTTTTTTCTTCTTTTTCCTTTTTTTTTTTTCCTGACTTATTATTGTGTTCTTTCAGCCTCCTTCTCTATGTTCCACATTCCAAAGTGTAACACTGCAATTTTCATCTCCAATAATTCCAACCATAGGTAAACGTGTCTCTGTGTAGTACAGGCACAGGAGTACAGGAGTACATGCAGCACAGTTGCTCTTCTGCATCTCATTTATTCTCTTGCAGTTTGCATCCACAGACAACACACTCATGTTCTTTACTCCACTGGTAACCAGAAAGCATCTCACACAGAATCACAGGGGTTGAAAGGAAACTCAAGAGGTCATCAAGTCCAAGCCCCCTGCTAAAGCAGTTGCCTACAGTAGGTCATGCAGGTGGGAGTCCAGATGGGTCTGGAATATCTCCATAGGAGACTCCACCACCTCTCTGGGCAGCCTGTTCCAATACTCTGTCATCCTTATTGAAAAGAAGCTCTTCCACTTGTTTGTATGGAACCTCCTATGTTCAAGTTTTAGGCCATTGCTCTTTGCCCTGTTGCTACACACCAAGAACCTGGCTTCATCCATTTGCCTCTCACCTCCCTTTAGATATTTATAAACCTTAGATCTCACTGCCTGATGATTTATTGGAAAATAGATGCTCCTGCCCAGAAAACAAAACTTTCTGTAGCAGGCATTGTCACCCAACTTTAGGTACACGAGGAGCAAGCCTCCTAATTCTAGGGAAGCAATCTCCTAACCAAGCCTGAAAGCAACAAATATGAGGTCCATCCAGATTCAGGCAAAGATGCATTTTGCATTGGGGTTCTGGTAGAAAACAGACTATTTAAATAGGTTTAAATGAGGACTGGCTCCATCCCTAAGCATGCCATGAGACCAATGGCATTTCTCCCAAAAGCAGTTAAAATGGTTCAAACAATCATTTTTTCCTGGTCATACTGCGTGGGACTGCAGGCTCTGAGCCCTTCTATAATGACACAGGTCGGGATCTCATCTTCACTCCCATCTACCACAAATCAATTAACTTAGTTACAAACAAACTGTTTGTAATGGTGACAAACTAGAGAGCCCTTTACACCTCTGGACAGTTTACTGGTGCTTTCAAGTTGAGGTAATGAGATCTTTTTATACCACAAAAGGAATTTACAAGAACTGCAGGGCTCAGACACACAATCTACTTACCATGACTATACAAGTCAGAGTGCTGACAATCTGTCAATCTCTTGCAGCTACACTGTAGATCTATAGTGTAAATGAGAATAAGGTCTTTCAATTCCCATGAATAAAGTGAAAAGGAACAGGCAGTTTACATTTTCCTCAAACAAAGGAATGTTGCAAGAGATGGAGTTAAAAATGTAATTCAATGAATTATAGCAAAAAAAAAAGGCAAAAAAAGAAAAAACAAAAACCACAGTATAGTCTCTGGCAGTAAAAGACAATTTACTGCAGCATTTCAGGTGTCAAACAGCCTAAGGAGTCCAGCTTCATCTCCACTGTCATAACCTCATATTAAAAAACTTTTCCTTATCCAAATTGAACTGCCCTTTCAAACTTAGCCTGGCCATTCCTGAAATTTCCAAATGTCAAAGTGATAAATGGCAATGCAGCCATTGGAAACGGTTGCTTCAGGAAACAGATTTTTAAAAAATATTTTGAGATCCAGAAAAGAGACTTTCTGTTGTTCCTGCTTCACAGTTAATAAAAAATTAAAGCCATAAAAACAACATAAAACCCTCCTTACATTAAAAAGAATAGGACATATCTTTCGGAAAGCCTCCCTGGTTTGTGTTGCTACAGTTCCATGTGGACTTTATCCTTAAGTTGGACCTTTCTTTAAGTTGGATCTTTCTTTAAGTTAGGGATGTGGAGTGATGAAACCATGTCATGAATCACAGAATAGGTAAGATAGGGTAGATGGAGTGGAACGGAATGGAATGGGGTAGAATTGAACAGCACAGGATAGAATCATTCAGCTGGAAGGGATGTACAGAGACCATTGAGCCCAACTGCCTGACCACTTCAGGGCTACCCAAAAGTTAAAGCACGTTTAAGAGGGCAATGT